CTCTAGATGTGGCCTCACCAGTGCTGAATAGAGGGTAATAATCATTTCCTTCAATCTGCTAGCAATTCTCCTACTAATGCAGCCCAGTATGCTATTAGCCTTCTCACCAAGGGCATGCTGTTGGCTCATATTTGGCTTATTGTCCAATGTAACCCCCAGGGCTTTTTCTGCACGTTCTGCTGCCCAGCCAGTTAGTCACCAGCCTCTACCTGTGCATGGGATTGTTCCAACCTAAGTGCAGGACTTTGCACTTGTCCTTATTGAACCTCATGAAATTTCTTTTGTCCTTATCCTCCAGCTGGTCTAGATCGCTCTGAATCCTAGCCCTACCCTCCAGCATATCTACTACTCCCCCCTAGCTTGGTGTCACCTGCAAACTTGCTGAGGGTGCATTCTATGTCATTTTCCAGGTCATTGATGAAGATATTGAATAAAACTGGCCCCAGGACTGACCCCGGGGCACTCCACTTGATACCGGCTGCCAACTAGACATGGCGCCACTAACTACTACTCTCTGAGCCTGATGATCCAGTGTTTATGGAGTACCTGTGCCAAAGCTTGCAGCAGTTAAAAAAAAAAGATAAGATGCATTCCTTTAATCAATTCTGGATGAACTAAGTCTATGAGTTTCCATAGTAATTTGCCTATATGCATATTACTAGAGGCATGTTTCATTCAAAGTCAGTGTTCTCAAATTTGCCTCTTGCTTCCATGTGCTCAGAGAGAGCAAGGTCTGACAGTAAAGAAAGAGGGAAGAAGCCACAGGGGGAATAAGTTGTGGGGGCAAAGAGTAAGGGGGCCACTTGACAGCCCCCAGATTTATTTTCCCTGCTATAGCAGTGGAAGGGGGACAAATTCAAGGAAAACCTTTAATAATTAGATTCTATACCTGGAACATTATAACAAATATATAATTTTCTGTATATAGAATGTAATTATTGGGAGTGGGGGAAGACTTTATATCCAAGGTCATCTTATATTTGTGTAAATATGGTATTCATGAAAAGCTGGTATAATAGATTGGATGACAAATATGAATTGGGGCATATCTTCAAGTTATACGTGTGAATGTTTCATAGGTAAGTAGGGTAGTGAGAACAGGTTTTGGATCCTGTGACCCATTTGCCTTTCTTATGCAAGACACTGATTTTGAAGAGGAAAGTGGCAACTTGCTGACATCAACCTCAACCTACAGAGACCTCCCTGTGGCAATAGGGAAGGAGGCAGGAGAACGGGGGAGAGTGGGAAGGTAGCACTCACATATTTCTTCCTCCTCTTCCCCAAAGCAGTCCTGTGGGGACTTTTGTGTGTCCCCACTCACTATCTTGTAGCCATACTTGTGAGACTCTGAGACAACTCCTGGTTCAGAAACTATTGGAATCAATTCTTGTTGTGCTCCTAGCATGTAGAAGGAAGAGAGGGTATTGGCTATTCTAAGAGCAGTGAGTCTTAACTTCAGCTGGGAAATGGAGGACAGGATCTTGGAGTAAATCTAGCAGTGGGGTCCTTAAGAGAAAAATGCTGAAGAAATGCCTGTCTTCCTTTCTAATGATAATATTGCATAGGGGCTCAACCGAATGTGCATATGCACAAGACTAAGGTTTTCAAACGTTAACTGCTTTACAAATAAGGATTGGTAGGCATACTACAGTTTGGTTTACGTACGTTAAGTAGAATAGCCATAGACATTAACTGTTGGTTTTTGTTGACAGATTGGCTGGCTTACTGTTGTTGCATAGTGATATATACACCCTGAGGAAGGTAAAGGTATACATGTTGTAATTACTAAATACATTAAACTATTTAATTTGAAATAATGAAATTGCTCAAGGCAGGTGAATATCGTGCATCCCAGAAATCTGGGGGAAAAATAAGGGAAAGTCACCCCTAAACCTTCTCTACAAATCTGTCTATATTACAGTGTGCTAGCTCAGGCACCCATAATCTAGCTAGCTCAGGTATCCACAGTCTAAACAGCAGCACAGAGCTCAGGGGGAACTGGCTACCAGAATACTTATGCAGTTTTTCAGGCAGGTTTTGCTGCCCGAGTTAGTAATTTAAAGCTAGCTAAGACGTCAACACTGCATTGCAGTCACAGCAGTGTAGATACCTATTAGGTAAAATTTCCCTGCTACTGTTGACAGGTGTTGGCAATGAATTCAGCTCTAGTAGTGCCAAAAAGTGGCTTACTGCAAGCACTGGCAAGAACCAAAGTGTTTGGCACCCATTTTAGAAGCTGTGATCAACAAGGTATATTACTTGGGGCAACAAATGCTTTAAGGGTAGAGCAAAACCTCTCAAGAATGAGGAAAAATAAACTAGGAGAGACTGCCACGGGCATTTTAAAGTTTTCTAAACTTTGTTACCAGTTATCTTGCAGATGCCCTCCCCACCACTTCAATTTTTTTTTTTTTTTTTTGAGGAAAACTGTTTACTATTACAACAGTGCTCAATAGCATATTTCAAGAAGCTTGTTTTTAGCTGATGTTGGGCATAGTACTAGTTGGAAGAAACAAAACCAAGTCATAGGTAGGTTTCCTGCCCAAGTGCAGGGGGCTGGACCCAATGATCTGTAAGGTCCCTTCCAGCCCCTAACAGCTACAAAACTGTGCCAAACTAAAGCATATAAGACCAAGCTGTTGCTTAGTATTGGGCGCTCTCTCTCAAAATAACAAAAATCTAAAAGGAAACTTAATTTGCTGATGTATGTAGTACAGAGCTGCAAAATTTTTGGAGGAAGTGTATGGGGGGGTGGGGGGGGCAGGTAGTGCCAAAACCAAACTGAACCAGAAAAAAAAATTATTTGGGGCAATTCACTTCAACAATCAGGCTGATTTCAAACACACAGTTTGAAAATGGAATATTGAAATGTTCCATTAAAAATGAATTGATGGCTTTAGGAAATAGAACTCAGTCAGCATTTGCTATGTCTGATCAAAATTCACTCTTTTTTCAGTTGCACCAGACCTGCATTTTTCAAACTACCTGGGGTGGGGAAGGGGAAGTTGCCCAGATCTAGTTTGTATAAATCGAGTTAGGACATGTTTTTAAGACTTCAGCAAAGAGAAATATTTCATGGGCTCCAGTTCAGTGTTTCTGAAAGCTCCCTGTTTCTCTAAGTCTCATTTTAAACACATTAAAATGTGCAAGGAGATTATCCTGCAACACAGTGATGTGGAAGAGTGAATTAGTTGTTTATTACTTACGCAAGACGGTACAGGCTGTACTGAAGAGACGCTGGAAAGCCAAATGACTAATAAAGTTCAGTTCAAAATTACTTGCATCCATTTGCCCTGTATTTGATTATTTCGCTCGCCTTGAAGTGGCAAGAACAAGAGACGAACAACTTAAAAGGTTGCATTTAAAATATTCTGTCACCTGTAACATTTACAAAATTAAACCACCAGCTTGCAACAGTACTCAGTAAGTTAGTTCTGAGCATATCAAAAATTGGTTCTCTTCTGCAAGGGGAGGTTGTTAAACCATGTTAGTCTGCAGTTAGTTTCCACTGGACATATAGGATTTAGGTTAGAGCAAAAGTTTAGTAGACCAAATACTGTACAACAAAGATACCTCCTGAGGTTTATCCTTGCCTTCTCAAACTGATCTGGTGGGAGCATCCTGACATAAATCTACTCAATATTTTTTACAAAAGCAAAAATAAAAACCAAAATGCTTGTCAAGACATCCTACAGATATTTTTTCTTGAACCCAACTATGGCTATCAGCATTATATCTATAATAAAGTGTAATGACATTGATTATTTCCAGATATAAACACAATAAAAACCCACAGTTAACATACAGACACTTTCAGACTTTTTCCTATTCTAGGGAAATAGAATCCTCAGTTCATCTGATGGGGAAATTGTTTAACCCGTGTAATCAACAGCAGGTAAGTGGAAAACATCTGCATGCATTTAATTTATGTGCTGTCATAAACTCTCAATTGCCCTGCACTTGCAGGCAGGAGTACTTGAGATGTCTACTATTGAAATAGCTGAAACATCTGTTCTGAAGGGGAGGCTGATTGGCAGGGCAAGCTTTGTGCATAATAACAACTACAGAGGGGTAAAAAGTTACATCATGCAGCAAAAGCTTCCCATCAAGACACAAGAACACCTGTGCTGTGGCCCCAGCTCTACCATTCCTTTTTTGCAGTATCGCGACACAACCCCTGGCATCTCAAGCTACCCAACAAATGTTAAGAGACTATTAACAAGATCCAGCCAGAGAGTACTACTCTACCTCTCAGCTGCTCAAGTAGTCTTTATCCTTTATGAGCATCTGGGAAAAAAACAGGACGATGGACAGGACTGTGGGCTAGTCAATGGACTCAGCTCCAATGGAACCATTTTGAAAAACAGAAGAACAAGGAAAGATAAATAGTGGGGCGTTTCAGCATTGATCCTATCACTGGAGTGAATGGGGCAGTTCTCAGCAACGCAATAGATGTACACACCAATTCTACTATGAGGAGAGTGCATTCCCTTACCAAAAAGAAAGGTCAGTATTTTGATACACTAAAATTCTGCAGCATCATATTAACAAAATGTACTTCCCTTTCAAGGAAGGTGCTATATAGGGTTGAAAAATAAGTACTGGTTGTTACTTAGATTAATCACAAATTAAAAGAGGCCTGTAAGATTTTCTTTTTTAATATTAATCCTTCCAAATACAGAAGTTTTAGCTGCTTAAACACAGCAGGTTCAGGGCAAGACATGTTTCATTTAGGCCTAATCTCTAAGATTACAAGAACAGTTCTCTCTGGCACAGATAACTTCAAAGCTATTTTGAATAACTTTAAAGCAAACTGTTCAAGGGTACTTAAGTGCCAGAGAAAAATGTTACTCTCTTATAAAGAAAAAGACAGATTGTTCTTTTCCCAAACATTACACCCCATCAGTCATCTCAGCTCTTAGGAAAACAAAGTAGTGTTGTTTGGTAGGCCAATAGGTAAACACCAACCTAACACACAGGACATAAATAAAGGAATAAAATGCCCATGAATTGTTTATTTCATTAAAACTAAACTTTGCACAGTTTTGCTCATTAATTCCTCCATTGAGATAACACATCCATAAAAAAAGTTGTAATAATAAAAACTGACAGGCATCCAGGCCTATTTCAGGCATCAGATACAATAAAAGTTATCAAATGTTGAAGTTACAGTCTTGTTGCATCACACACTATCATAGAAAGTGGGGGGAAAAAAACCCAATAAACATTCAATAAAGTTAACTGTATTATTTTAGACACTTGTAAGTGTTCCAGTTTTTGTACCACACAATTTGTTTTAGTTCAAATTCACATCTTTCTAGGAAACATGTCAGATATAACGTGAGTTAGAAGTATGAGTAAAGTATACATCTCCCAAACGGTTTTAAGAGATTACCCCATCCCCATAGCAAAGCTTATGTTTTTGCTTATTAAAAAAAAGTGAGTGGAATGTGAAAGGTCAATGGGTGAAATAAAAATGCTTTTGTCCCATAGAACAAGCAAAACAATGGTGACTAGCTAGCCACTGCAAATGCTTCGAAGAGCTACAGTAGAACTTTGCTGGTTCTGCACTTTGTGCCACTTCAGCCCACGTCTGAAAAAAACAAAAAAACACAAAACCCAACCCAAAACCCCAAAACTTTCCAGTGCTAACATGAGGTCTCATTATATTTCGGTGCTTTTGGTGGATAGAGATCCTTAGCAATATACTATAGTTTCAATCTGAGATTTCAAACCATGAATTATATGTATGCAAAGATTTAATAATTCTCAAATTTAGTTCCCTCAGTTACTAGATAGTTTCTACTAGATTAGAAGTTCTTGCAAAATACATTTTGTAGTACAGCTTGTGCTACAGTCCAACAGATCAAAATATTCTCTTGGAACTCCTGCACCTGTTTTATTTATTAGTTTTGTGCAATTTTCAGCTTAACACTTCCCTCAACAGTATATAAAGATCCTTTAATCATAATAATGAACTCTGTGTATTCAACAATAGGTAGTACCATGGAAAGAATTGCACTCGAGAGCTGTTGGAAACTTCCAATCATAATAAGCCACATGTCTTTTACAGAAATGTAAAGATATTTATTTTCTGCACTGCAGAACATTTACAGAGCATCTAGTTTGAAGTGCATTCTTACGGAATGTATTTAGGCATCTGGTGCAACAAGTGATCTTTTATCCATAAGGAATCCAATTGTTGTTGCACTAAATTAAAGGGTGGCAGAAAGGGGGCTGAAGGGAGATTGTTGGCTCTACCCCATATATACATAAAAAAGAAGGTGCTTTTCAAGGCTGAATATACCCATATGTGTAGTGTACAACCAAAAAGTGAAGGCACATGTAATTTATAGTATAGCTTACAAATTATAAAATGTAGCTGAACATCTGCATAATTTCTAGTCTTCCTGCACAAAAATAATGACTAGCACCTGATTGTGAGTCTTATACACTACTGAATTGCTTACCAAGGTTTGTTTTCAGTATTTACTAAAGATATAGGTCTGCACTCAATACTATGAATAAGAATATGATTTATGGGCTCAAGCACAGGGTGCAGAAATTGCAAACTGGTCTGGGGAAGAAGTCAAACTGAGGAGTCCCCACCATGTCACAGCTTCTGTTTGTTGACTGTAAAGACTGAACTGTCACCACCGAAACTCTTAAAGCTGTCAACACAAACCAATATGCAGAACACTCAGAAGCAATTTGCTTGATTACGTTTTGAGTGCTTATGGCATGCATGTAACTACTGTCTCAGACTGGGATTTGCGTCTCTAAAGCCACATACATTTGGTAAGACACCTGACAAACATGCTCATATAATTTTGAGGAAGCGTAAGTTGAGACATGCTTTGATGAGTGCTACATTTTAACTGGTAACATTTTAACATCTAGGCACAGATAAGATTCTATGACCAGAAACACCCACCATCCAAGACCAGCCCAATAGCCATTTCTTTAAGATTAAAGGTATTTCAACATGTTTGTTTCCTAGCTTTTTCAGGAATTAATTGTTTAAGTAGCAGAAAGGCCAATATTCAAGTTTCCAGAAAATGTCAAGGATAGATTTGGAATACACTAGTCTTTGGGGTTAAGAACATTGTTTTGAAGAGTAATTTCAAAATTATATACACAAAAAAGGGATTTTAAATCTCAAACTAGAGATCTGATTTTAAAGCACATTTTTATAGTCACATCTCTAGAAATAAAATGGTTAGGAATGTGAATACCATCCCCACCTACATAAAATTAGAAATGCTTTTTCATTAAGCAGCTTTTACTGAGTACACCAAAACAAAAGAGGAACGTACGATCTAATTCCAGTCGATCACCTTGCCGTAGTTTTAAAAGCATTTCTGCACACATTGAGCTGGAGGAATTGAAATGCGTTACAACACATTTACTAGTGAAAACATAAGTGTGCTACTGCATTTCAGAAATGTAGCATTTTACGCAGATGTCATATGACAGCACCCACACTTCCATCTAATACAAGGTGACTTTACTGTACGAGTTGTGCATGACTATTTTAGATGAGTTCAAATGGTGTTACACAGGAACGGTATTAACAGGAATTGACCAAACATCAATAAACTTGTATGGTGCTAGATCTACTATTTGAGGGTTCACAGTGAATAAAATAAAATGGCCTTATTTGATGTATAAAATTTAAAAAGAGACCTGTCACTCCTGTTATTCTGTATTAGCAGTCCAGCTGAGAACAAGTTCAGCAGTACCTCAGACAGCTGTGACTTCTGTACATCCTTAACTTCAGCAGCTGTTAGGAATCCCATGGGCTTCTGCATTTTAAATGGCTTGATTTCAAGTGGGACTACTCTCAGTGCATAAAATTAAGATAGACTTGAGCAGTTTTGCTACATTTCTCCTCTCTGGTACCTTACTCTTCACTTTCCAAGTGGTATTATTCTTCAGGGGACAGGGGATGGGAAAGGACTCTGAAAATACATGAACATATTTAAGGAGCCCATAAATAGTCAGCTGTGCATGAAGACTGCATGTCTTCACAGTACCATTGATGGTGTAGCCATTAGGTGTGGAAGCTGAGTGTTTAAATCTTTTCCTCCCCTCACACATGCACGTGTAAACCAGAAGTACCATCACCTTGGTTTCTAGACCTAGAAGCCTGGCTTCTGGAGCGGTCTGTGGATCCCAAACTCGTTTCCAGACCCACTGCCCCTGGACTAGGGCTGCTGGAATGTGACTCTTAGGCAGGGAACATGACCCTTAAGCACAGTTGACCGAGGCAGCCGCTTTCCTTGCAGTTGCCGCACTCTGAGGGCTCTGCGCAATGTTTACACTTCTTCAGACGCTGAAGTGAACCAAGTGATTTGGCAACCCCATCCCGAGGGAAGCTCAAGATGCCCAGGTACCCATCCCCTTTTCCTTGGTGCTATGGGCCCAGCAGGGCTTGAGAGCAGGGATTTGGGCTGTTCCTGGCCTTGACTTTGATGCCACCCACCGCCTCATCCAAAAACGTTGGATTTGGGTCTGAGTTTGAAGGATGTTTTCAGGGGCTTCTCATCCTGCTCCTCCTCGTCGGGCTCTCCCCGGAAGGAGGGGGTGGTGTGGATGATTTGTGTCCGGAACCGGATTTTGTTCAGCCGGGGTTTTATCCGGCTGCTGTTGGAGGTTTTCCTGTGCCCGGGGTGGCTGTGCCCTCGGCTGCCTCGGCCTCCTCCACAGAGCCCTGGTGGTGGTGGTGATGGTGGTGGGAGAGCTTGTAGGCCATGAGGTTGGTGGGCAGCACCTTGGAGAGCCTCCAGCGCCCGCTCCCGTTGGATGCCGCGCCCTCGTCCTCCTCCTCCTCCTGCAGCGCCCCCACCAGGCTCTTCATCTCCTCCGGGGTGCCATGGTCCAGGTACTGCGCCGCCTTGCGCCCGCCGTAGTCCCGCACATCCACGTCGGCGTCACAGGCGCCCACCAGCAGCTTGACCACCTCGAAGTGGCCGTGCATGGTGGCCAAGTGCAGCGCCGTGTAGCCGCCCCCCCCGCTGCGCGCGTTCACGTCCACGGCCAGCCCCTGCTTGCGGGCGAAGGCCACTAGGTGGGCCAGCAGCTCCTGGTGCCCGTGCTTGGCTGCCCAGTGCAGGCACGTGAATCCGGTCACGAAGTCGCGCTTGGCCAGCAGCCCCGGCTCGCAGCTCAGCAGCCCCTCCAGGCTCTCCCCGC